GTTTACCCCGAGGCAGGAGCCAGGCCCCGCGTGGCCACTTGCCCACCACACGACAGGGAGAAAAAGGGAGAAAAATACAAAACCTCTTGGGCTGACATCAGGAGAATTTACTACAGGAACACAGGAGGAGCAGCAAACAATAGGTATAGCAACAGATAACAAATTGTACAAAGGAAACAGATCCCCACAAGGGCTCCTGCAGCACAAACCCACCAACAGCACAAAAATCACAGCTTGCACCCCCCCGGGCCCGGAACCCGCCCAGGCCCGAATCCCGCCCCTGCCCACAGTCTGCCCAGCCCAGTCCAGCTCCGCTGCTGTGGGCACGGTGTCAGCGTGGCAGCGAATAGCCCCCAGCTGGTCTGGCTGCTGCCCGGCTGGAGCTCCAGCCCGACTGCAGGGGAAATCCAGCCCTATCTGTTCTGAACCAGGACAGAGGCAAAATGTCCAAGTATTCCTGGGCTGGTGGCCTGGCAGCAGGTGCCCAGGTTGAACTTGGCAGAGCCCTCTGCTCCAGGAGGGCTGGAAACACCGCCCTGCCATGTGTCTAGGGGATGTGCCCTTAGCCTGCTTCACTTTACAGCCTCTAGTGCCACCTTGGAGCATGCTGGCCCCAGCACTGCTAGCCAGTCAGGATCAGGGCCATCCCACAGCTCCCTGGCAACCAACATCAGTAGCCCCAGCCACAGCAGCCAGGCAACTCTCTCTTCTCCCTGGGGACTGGCAGCATGTTCCCCAGATCTCTCTATTTACCAGCTGGCCTTGGCCAGCTGCCCAGCACCATGACTGGGTGCTTTGTGCTTTGCTGGCCCTACAGCCTGGGAAGTCCACACCCACCCCTAGGAACAGGGCTCTCTGCCCCTGCTCCCTGCCTGGGAGTCAGTGCTGCCACACCTCTCCTGGCAATGTGAGCTGCACCTGCCTACCCAGCCCTAGCAGATCACTCCCTGAAGTCTAATCCCAGTAAGTTTTGCCATGATTCAGCTCTATTTCATTCAAGACAAGGCTGAACCAATCTTCTATCCTCCTTGCCTAGGTTAGTGAGAATTGAAGCCAAGTGGTAAAACTACTTTTTTAAAAAAGTTAAGTTCAATGTAACATCTATATTTGTGACATGAAGGTTTCTGTAGATTGTCTTTTTACCATATCCAAAAGCCATTGCCCATACCCCAGTTCCGAGTCCTGTTCCCCAGCACGATTGCTGCTGTACCAACTGAAGGCTTCCTTTTTGCAGTTGAAGGCAATAAACCCTTCTTAATACTTTTAAATACAGATTTTTTATATAGATTTCAAACTCCTGGTAAGGAATTTGCTCCACAGAGTTCAGGAGTCAAAGCAGTACCTGGTGCTGAGGGCTTGAGTCCTGTCATAAGCTGTTCAGAGTGAAAAAAAAAAAACTCAAGTGCTGTACGGGAGGCTAACAAAGGGCCTGGGAAATGTCAGTCATCCAAAAGGATTGCCCTTCTGTTGGAGACCAGAAAGTACCTTTCAAGTGCAGAAAAGAGAAAAGATGTGGTCACAAAGGACATGCTGAGTATCTGTGTGGAAGATGGCAGGAAGAAGGCTTAATCAAAGAATAATGGTGACCAAAGTGTGAAGGTAATCCCATGGGGGGGCTGTACAGATTTGAGCAACATGCTGCTCTTCCATCAAACTGCCAGTGATCTTATGGTGTGTGAATCAGATGCCTTCCTATTAGGCCTCAATGGAGCTTGAAAGTTGATTTGTTAGAGTAGGGAGTAGCTATCCTCTCTGAGGAAGGCAGGAGAGCCTGGGAGACCTGATGAGCTGTTCTGCCAATTAGGAGACAATGAGGAAGGAATAGAGGTATAGAGGGTCCAAAACAGTCAGTGGCAGCACTTTGCCTTTCTGTTCTTGACTGCTGTGACTGGGAAGACATGAGGTCTAGACACGGCCACAACAAGTAGTGCTCTTCAGGGGGCTTGCAAGGCAAGCTCTGAGGCAGTCCTGAGCAATGGAGCTCAAATGGAGCTGGCCAAAGAGCTGTGGTCACGCACAGCCTTGTTCTAAAACAAGGTGCTTGTTCCCTGGAACTCTTCGCCCCTGTTGACGTCTTGCTAACAGTGGTCTGTAATGTGCTGGCATCAGAAGGCCAAGTGAAATCTCAGACAGCCTGCTGAGAATAAAAGCCTGGTGGAAGGTACCTGGTAGAAGGGGATGTCTGAGGACAGTCTAACAGCAGGAGCTGAAGGAAGCAGCCCGGAAAACCAGTTGTGCTTGGAGAGCTCACTTGGCACCCTGACACATTGCACAGGGGACACCTAGGCCCCGGTTGTCTTTGAAGGTTACCAGGTGCACCCCCTCAAACATCCCCTCAGCTGTGGTTTCAGTTCCCCCTTTGCCCCGATGTAGGAACTCCCAGGAAAGAGGAAGAGAAACTGCAGGGGGAGGGGAGGCACCAGGGGACAGCCAGGGAGGAGCTGTGGGTGGGGGACTTTGTGGGCGTGAGGCTGGACCTGGTCACCCTATTGTCCCTCCAACACTGGACACTGGTGACAATGGGGAGAGAGCCAGGGGATGGCTCCCACCATTCCTGTTCCCATGCCCAGGGGGTATGTGAGGAAGGAGACTGGGTTCCATACCAAGGATGGTGGCTGCCAGGCTGCAGCCCAGTCCCAGGTCCTCTCCTGGGGGACAACATTTATGGGAGCTGGAACTCTCTAGCACTGTGGGGTGCAGTGAAACTGAGAGGCAGACCCCAGGGCCCACGGTTTGGATGGAGCTCCATGTCAAATGAGGAGGCTGATCATCCACTACAGCCTCCTAGAGTGGACCTTGGAGTTGGAAAACCATGATCTCATCCCCATCCAAGCTTGGGGATCCTGCCAGGCAAAATGCCGCCACTCCAAGGGTCTGATGACTGTCACTGGGAGACAGTCCCTTCCAGACGCCACAGTCTGTGTCTCCAACTGGGGACCATCACACCATAGCTGCTGCAGCCCATCCTCTTTCTGCACCTCAAGTGGAGCTCCTGGAAGAGAAGTTTTTCCAGCCTTGCATATACCTATCCATGACAATGCAGTAATTGTCCAGGCTGGAACTGCTTGTCACCTCATTTCAAGGCCAAGGCCATTCCCCAGCATCAGGCCAGCGTTACCAAGGAGTCAAAGGATATCACCAGCTCTTCTCCCTCTAGCCTGCAACAGAGCCATCCATGGCCATGGTCTTTGCTTGCAAGCTTGGCCCAGCTCTGCTTCTGGTGGTTTGCCACAAGCTTCTACCCATGGTCTATCAGCATGACCTGGCTACAGGAGAACTGGGAGGCAACAACGATGTGTGGGGACAGCACACAGCCTGCAGGCATGTGGAGTCCAGGCATATGGCCAGGCTGTGGGAGCAGGATTTCACCCTGCAGTTAAGATGGCCATGTCAGGACAAACCCACCTGGCCAAGTAGGCAGCACATAGCAGATAGAGATGACTATGCTACACGGGAGCAGACATGCTGAGAGTGAGAGGCAGAAAGGGACATTCCTGTCAAGGACAGTGGGGTGCAGCCCATGGCTGGGTGGCACCTCCACCTCTAATGAGGGTAGAAAGGAGTTGGGTCACCCTCACCATCCTGATTGTCATGCTGCTGCCGCAGCCACAAGGGACCACTTCCGCAGTCAGTGGGATGGCCTCTCTCCCACCCAAATTCCCCCAGCACTCAGCCACACTCAGGACACTCCAGACCAACCTACCCCATGCAGGAACCTTGGGGCCCTCCCTGAAACCTCAGTGCCAGCCCCATTGGCTGCCAGGGCCACTAGTACTAGTGGGGCTGCTCAGGCAGAGCCATCCTGAGGAGAAGTGTGTGGCCACGTCTCCCACAGCCCTTTCCTCCTGCTACTTCACCCACCACTGCAAGCTCGGGGCCCCGCTGCTGGCACCATGCAGCCCCAACGCCACTGCCTCCTCCTCCTCCTCCTCCTCTACCTCTTCCTCCTGGCTGGGACACGAGCACACCTGGAGGGTAAGTGGGAGCCCCGGCTCATCCACACCTGCTCCCATGCCCCAGTGGGACCCCACAGGTAACAGGCTTCTTCCTCCCCACTCACCTTGGGCACTTGCCACCTCATCACTCCTTGTCCCCTGGCTGCACACCTCCACTCCAGGAGGGATGCAGCCACCCCAAATGAGTGCAGAGTTGGGAGCTGGCATTTATGGGGGGCTTCACAGGTCCCTGCAACCCCAAGGGTCTGTTTCTCAGCCCCTGGACTTTTCCCAGCCCTCCAACTCTCATCTCCCATCTGTCTCATATAGAGACCATCACTCTCCGGCTGCTACAGACCTCCACCTTCCAAAACACCTCCTTTGTGGACACAGAAGGGCTGGGCCTGCTGGAAGACATTGAGCTTGGTTCTCTTGATAAACACACCTGGAACATCCACTTCTACCAGCCCTGGGTGCGCCCATCCCTGCCCCGCAGTGACTGGGATACCATTGAGAACATGATCAAGATCTATTTGCAGAAATTCAACCACCTGATCAATGAAGGTGCCATGCAGAAGGATGTGCCCTGTGAGTACCTGGTCTCCTCTGCTTCCCCTTTCTGAACAGCACCTTGGAAAAAGGGAAGGACCCAGAAGTGCTGGTGCTGTACAGAAGATGCTGATGGTGTTCACAGAAATGCAGTGCCAATCGCTCATGCACACTCTCTCTCCTCTCTGCCTCTCCAGACCCGTTTGTGGCTCAATGCATTGCAGGCTGTGAGCTCTACCCCAACTGGACATCCCGGGCTTTTGCCTATGTGGGTTACAATGGCCAGGACTTCCTCAGCTTCAACACAGACAATGCCACCTGGCTCCTCTCCCAAGACACCAACCTGTCACGGTATGTCCAGGCTGTTCTCCAGAACTATACCGCCTTCAGTGAGCTGGTGGAAGTCCTCTTCAATGATACCTGTGTCGATGACATGGAGTTGATACTGCACAATGGGAAGGCAGCTCTGGAGAGACAAGGTGAGATCACACTGATCCTGGCACAGCCACCTCAAAGTCACACACACACTGGAGCCAAATGGTGCCCTACCAGGGCTCCCCTTATGCCCTTGCTTTCACCCCCCAGAACTGCCCGTTGCCACTGTCTACTCCCGCACGCCCAACCCAGACAAGCTCCTGTTGGTTGCCCGCGGCACCGGCTTCTACCCACAGCCCATCAGCGTGGCCTGGCTGCGGGATGGCCAGGAGGTGTCAGTGGGCCCGGCACTCAACACCAGCCCGGTGCTGCCCAATCATGATCTCACCTACCAGCTCCGCAGCACCCTGGCCGTTGTCCCTGGGGACGGGCACAGCTACGCCTGCCGCGTGCGCCACCGCAGCCTGGGCACCCGCAGCCTCCTCATCCCCTGGGGTAGGTGCCACCCATGGGGACAGGGATGAGGCTCATGAGCTGCCCGGCCCCACAGGATGGGGCAGAGTCAGGAGAGCTGGTGGCAGCCTCTGCTTTTGTTTCCCAGGGAGCTCAGAGGTGGTGCTGATCGCAGGACTCGGGGCCGGGCTGTGGCTGCCATCACAGTACTTTGGGTGTGGAGACACAGGTGAGTCCCCTTCTGCCCCCCAGAGCAGCAGTGGGAGAGGAGGGGAGAGGAGAAAATGCCCCAGGGCAGTCCTGCACTTAGCAGCGAACCTCCTGCTCCAGCCCTGCCAACTGCTGTCTGCACACCAACAATGTCTCTTCCGTGGAACACCCATGAGCTGTCCCTCTCTCATTCTAGAAAGCACGAGCAGATGGAGGAATCGGAGTCCAGGAACTCTATCCTGAGCAAAGAAGCTTAGCCCAGAAAGGAGTCAACAGCCCCCATTTCCTTCTACCACCCTCACATGGACAAATACTTGCCCTTTTTTCTGTTTTCACAAAGTTCTGGGCACTACTGAGTGCAAGATGAATTCGACTTGGAGATGTAGGGGGTAACTGTGAGTGATTCCTGCCCTGCTTCAATTTGCTAAGCAGACAAGATACAGGTCTGAGACATCTTCACTTGGTAGACACAATCACCTCTTACCTTGTGGCACTGCCCCATGCACTGAGGCTCTTTAGGGCACCCCAATGCCCAGTGGCAATTTCTTCCAGTTCTGGTACAATAACACGTTTATTAGTAGGTGTTAAGCTTTGCATTTCTGCTGATGCTTTCTAGTATGTTTTCCTAAAAGCTGCCTATATTAACCATATTCCAGAAATACTTCTGCTGACACTGAGCTGGTCCACACAGACTAACAGAACCTGGCTGCAAACTGTTTTAAAAAGTTCTGAGTAACACTGCAGCTGATGTAATCTGTGAGAGATGCAGACATATATAAAATGAAATTAAAGAATTTATGTTTTCATTAAGAACACGTGTCTTTCCTCAGGATTTGAATGAGCTCAGAGAGGTTTTGACCAGCTCTGAATAAAAGCTGGAGCACCATTGAATTATTTGTGCTAATTTCAGAAAACACCAAAGCAAGAAAAAAGAAAAAGTAAAGGTGTGTTTGTGCCTATACAAACACGTTCTTACATATTTCATGGAAGTTAGCAACTGTGCACATGGACGTAAAGTGCTCCCAAGCCTCCCAGTAGGGAGAAAAGGGAAACCAATCTCTCACTGGAGACAGCAGAGTTCAGACAGGTATAGGAAGGAATTTAGTTCATGTTCCAAATCAACCACACACTGGAACATGCAGTTTCAATAGGTCTGGTTTTACAGGAAAATGTCCTGGCAAAGTTTCATGGGATGAGATGCTGGCAGCTGTGTGCAAGCCAGCTCTCAGCTGAGTCAGAAGAAAGCTTGGGTGGCCTGTGACCACATCCACCACAACTCCACCAGGGCTGGTTCTACCCTGGGCAAACCCTATGAACCACACTGCTGAGAGCATGACTGAATTTCCTTGACAGGCAGTCATCTGCTGCGCTGCGGGGGTCAAGGATATCTCTGCAGGAGGAGTGATGGTGAGTCTTTCCCAGCCCTTGCTGAGCTAAGACAGATGAAACTTTTGGCTGGGGCAGGACTCACCATGGGGCTGGGAGCTCACAGCCTCAGCATCAACAGGGCACATGGGGCAATTCAGCTCCCAAATGGAATGAAACACCCTGCAGCACTCATGCAATATGTCAGGATGAAGCTCACCCACCAAACCTGGACAGCAGATGCAACTGGTGAGCAACCCTGGGAAGAAATTGTTGTCATTGAATCATAGAGTCACTATGGTTAGAAAGGACCTCTAGGATCACCAAGTCCAACCTTTGTCCCAACATTTCCCTAACCACTTAGACCATAGGCTCAAGTCCTACATCTACTTGGTTTCTGAGCACCTCCAGAGATGGTGACTCCACCCCCTCCCTGGGCAGCCTGTTCCAGTGCCTAACAGCTCTCCCAGTGAAGAAAATCTTCCTAATATCTAACCAAAACTTCCCGTGGCACAACTCCCAAGAGACCTACAGTAACACACACACAAACGCTCGTGTGTTTCAAGAGGTCTCTTCAGGCATTTTGGCCCAACCCAGTGAGTGCTGGTGCCGACACACCCAGTGCAGCACCCAGCACCCATGGACAAAATCTCTCCTGAGTCTTCCCTCACTGGATGCCCCATGGCTGCACGTCGCCATTCCACCACCAAAACCCTCTGCTCTGATCCCAGGACTGGTGACCCTGCTGGGAGGGATGGGGAGACTGTGGTGGCATGGCTGGACATCCCCCGGGTGATGCCAAGATGACCTGCTGGGGAAGTGAGACAGTCGGTGCCATTTCTGGGCCTGCCAGGCCTGCCACAGTGTCCATACTTCTCCATGGGACAGCTTCCATGGAAAGGAAGGGGTTTGGTGTTTAACCTCCATTAATGGTGTGCACCCCCTCAGACTTCCTCTCAACTTTGGTTTCAGTTCTCCCTCCCTTTGCCCCGATGTAGGAACTCCCAGGAAAGAGGAAGAGAAACTGCAGGGGGAGGGGAGGCACCAGGGGACAGCCAGGGAGGAGCTGTGGGTGGGGGACTTTGTGGGTGTGAGGCTGGATCTGGTCACCCTATTGTCCCTCCAGCACTGGACACTGGTGACAATGGGGAGAGAGCCAGGGGATGGCTCCCACTGTTCCTGTTCCCATGCCCACTTGGGGAAGGAGATCAGGTTCCCTACCAAGGATGGTGGGAAGAAAAATTGAGTATCACGCTGCAGCCCAGTCCCAGGTCCTCTCCTGGGGGACATTTATGGGAGAGTTAGAGCTTCCCAGCACTGTTCCCACAGCAATAGGATGGATGGGAACTGCTTGTCACCTCCTTCCTGAGAAGCCTTGTCCTCAGGGTTGGGCAGGCAGTGCAGGAAGAGCCTGAACTGGAGGTGCTGGAGGGGGGCCCAAACCAGCCCTTCTCTGCATGCAGGGGCTGAGAGGACAGCAGCCATCTTGCTCCAGTCAGGGCTGAAACCTAAAAGCCATCATCACCTCCAAGAGAGCTAATACACCCTATAATAATGGGGATAGGGTCCAAGTACCATCAGTTCACTCTGTGTCTGGAATGGTTTTGGATTAGGATCTCCCCCTCTCCTGACTCCTGTCCCCATGCCTGACTCCTGTCCCTGCAGAAGCTGGATGAATGGGGGCAGCCACCCTCCCATTGTGCCTGAAAGCCATGAAAGAGTCATGCTGAAGTTCTGGGGGACTCTGTCTTTGAGTTATATGCCCCCAAGAAGGGTGGGTTGAACTTGTTTGGTCACCAGATGCCCATCAAAGCTGTTCTATCACTCCTCTTCCTCAACTGGACAAGGGGGAGAAAATACAACAAAAGGCTTGTGGGTCAAGATAAGCACAGGAAGAGGAAAAAGAGACACAGCTTGCAAAAATTAATTACCACTCAAAATCAGAGTAGGATAATGAGAGGAACAAATCTAAAACTACCTTCCCCCCACCCCTCCTTTCTTCCTGGGCTGAACTTTACTCTTGACTTCCCTACCTCCTCCTCCCACAGGGCACAGCAGGATGGGTTATAGGGATTGCCATCAGTCTCTTTCCTCATCACTCTGCTCCAGCATTGGGTGCCTCCCATGGGAGACAGTCCTCGATGAACTTCTCCAATGTGCACCCTTCCCACAGGCTGCAGATCTGCACAAACTGTTCCACTGTAAATCCTTCCCATGGGGTGAAATCCTTCAGGTACAGACTGATTCAGCACAGGTCCCTCACAGAGTCACAAGTCCTGCCAGAAGACCTGCTCTAGCTTGCCATCCTCTCTCCAAAAAGTCACAGGTTCTGCAAGAAACCTGCTCCAGCATGGGGTCTCAGCCTACTTCTGGCACATCCACCTGCTTCACTGTGGGGTCCTCCATGGGCTGCAGGGGGACAACCTGCATCACAATATCTCCATCATCAGCTACACAGGCACCATTTCTGCTCCTCTTCCTTCTTCTCTGACTTTGGTTTCTCCATAGTTGTTTCCCCTCACATCTTCTTACTTCTCTCGCCCAGCTGCTGTAGCACAGCTGGTTTTACCCCTTTTTAAATACGTTATGACAGAAGCACGACCAACATCACTGATTGGCTCAGCCTTGGCTAGCGATGAGTCTATCTTGGAGCTGTATGGAACTAGTTCTGTTGGACATGGGTGCAGCTTATGGCATCTTCTTGCAGGAAGCCACCCTTGCAAGCCCCAATACTAAAACCCTGCCATGTAAACCAAATACTCTCTGTCAGAGGACTACAGAGTAACTCCCTGAGGGTTCCATGGGAAGAGGTGAAGGCCACCACGGGCCAGGCTCAGCCTACACCTCCTTGAGTGTCAGGGCCCCCTACAACCAGAAGGGATGACTTCTCACTCACCCAAATTCCTCTGGCACTTGCAGCTGCTGGCCAGAGTGCCCCAGCCCTCCACTAGACACACCACTTTCCCCTGGGGAACATACGTGGCCACGCCCTCCCCAAAACCTCAGCACCAGCCTCATTGGCTACCAGAGCTGTCCCATGACTCCTGTGGTCCCTTCCTCCTCCTGCTACACTTGCTCCCTTAGCTTGCTGCTGGCACCATGCAACCCTGTCGCCTCCTCCTCCTCTTTCTTCTTCTCTGACCTGGGATGTGGGCAGATTCAGCAGGTAAGAGCCCTGGCTCTCCTCCACTTGTTCCCATCCCTGCACTGCAGGACCCCACAGAGATGGCAAGGAATGGGCACGGACAGATCACTGTCCTCATCACCAAGGGGCCATTCCCCACCCCACAGCACCCAAAGGTGCCCCAGCCCTAACCACCTGCTTGGGATTCCCTACCCCACACTATCCTGCCCAGCCCAGTACCACTGGCACTAGGCTTCAGAAGCTGGAGCAGCCAAGGGATACCTCAGGCAGTCCTGAGGTGCCCCCAAAGATATCTTCCTCCTGCAGGACATCCATGAGCAGCAAGAGTTCTCAGCCCCTCATGGCCCAGCAGCCCTGCACTGGGCTTCAACCCCTTGAGCAGGTCCTGCAGGTTCATTTCTCTTGTAATCAAAGGGTCTCTGGATCCTCTGCATTCCCCCTCTATAAAATAACACATGATTCTTCCTGCAGCTATGACAAGCCTTCACCCGAATCCCCAGCCTGCGTTTCCCATTCCAGGGGCAGACAGTCACTGTGCCTTGGCCAGAGGTGGACCCACTTCTCCAAAGCAGGCTTCGCTCTTCCTTGCTTACTACCAGAGCGTCATTTGGTGCTGTGTCATCGAACTTAAGTCTCCTACCTCCTGTTAAGGTTTGGTCTCAAGCACTGCCTGGGAGCCCCTAAACTGGAGTGAAATGCCCCTCCTTCCCAGCCCCTGCACTGTGCACAGGTCTCCAGTGGACCTGGGTCCTGGAATGGGTGCTCCTTGCCAGGGAAAACATTGTCCCAAGCCAGCATGGAGGTCCCTTCTGCCGTTCCTGCCACATGACTAAGTGACATCTCCCAGGAGGTCACACTGGGGAGGCAGAGGGCTAAAAATGGAGAAGCAGGGAGATGATCAGAGAGGCCATGAAGAGAAACTGCAAACTGAGTGAAACCAAGGGATTTCCCCAGCCATGCCTGTCAGCCCATTCTCACCCTGCCTGCCCCCAAGGATGCTGCAAGCCACCTTTCCTCCCAAGGCCAGCCACCAGCACTGGAGCTGGCAGCCCCCTGACCTCCTCCTTCAACCTCCTACACCACAATGCCACTTCCTCTCTCCCTTCTTCCCACAGGCCCTTGTAAACTCCACCTTTTCCAAACCTTCATCTTCCAAAACACCAGCTTTGTGGACATTTCAGCCTGGGCCACCCTGGACAACATCATCTTTGCTACCCTGCAGAAATACACTTGGAACATCCTCTGCCTTCACCCATGGGTCTACCCGGTGCTGCCTGCAGCAGAGTGGGAGGACCTGCAAAACCTGTTCAGGGTCTACGTGCACAACTTCAACCTGTCCCTGAATGGTGGTGCCAGGCTGTTCCAGACATCCTGTGAGTACCAGGTACAAGGCAGTGAGCTGTGAGAAGGCATTCAGAGCCACCACAAACAGCCTTCCCAAACCAGACTGGGCAGGAGGTCAGAGAATGGGTTTCCTACTGCAGCAGCAAGACCCTCAAACTACCTTTCTGTATGGAGGTCACACAGGGTTATCCTGGTCCCCAGCACAAACCTTGGCTGTGTTCAGCTCCACTTATGCCCTCACACCACCCCTCAGTATTGCTCTCTGGATGCCACAAATCCCACCTGAGAAGTAATCTGAGATGGTGGAATAGAAGGTCAAAGGGGTCTTTCCACTCATGTTTGTGGGACGGGGCACATGAAGCAAGTGCCTGACCCCACACAGCAGTGCTGGTGACCCAAGGGAAGAGTGCCACTGACCTCCTACTTGCCCACGCCTCCTGTCCTGTCCCAAAGCAGTGCTTCCCACTTTGCCAGGGTTTCCAACCCAGCCATGGGCAGAGGCATCTCAAGGACAACAAACTATAGGGCTCAGGAGAGGTTTTTCACCTGCAGAGTTTCCACCTGGCATAAAGCAGAGCAGTGACATGGGGGTACAGAATACAGAATCTGAAATAAAATATACAATATACAATATAAATTAATATAAAATAGAGAATGGAATGGTTCAGCTGGAAGGGACCTACAATGATCAAGTAGTCCAACTGCCTGACCACTTCAGGGTTAGCTAAAGGTGAAGTAAATTATTAAGGGCATTGTCCAAATGCCTCTTAAACACTGACAGGCTTGGGGCACTGACCACCTCTGTAAAATGGTGGTTTACTAATGTCACATCTGAATCTGCCCTGAAACAGCTTTGAACAATTTCCAAGTGTCCTGTTCCTGGATTCCAAGAAAAGATTGGCATCTCCCTCTCCATATCCCCTGTAGAAAGCTGTAGAGAGCAGTGAGCTTGCCCCTCAAACCTCCTTTTCTCCAGACTAGATAAATCCAGTGTCCTCAGCCACTCCTCAAAGGACATGTCTTCCAGCCTTGTCACCAGTTTTGTTGCCCTCCTCCAGACATATTGAAGGACCTTCACATCCTTCTTAAATGGTAGGGCCCAGAACTGCATATAGCGCTCCAAGTGAGGCGGTACCAATGCTGAGTACAATGGGATAATCACCTCTTTTGCCCAGTTGTTTCTGCTGTGTTTGATGGACATCAGGCCACACAGAATTGACCAGTACCCCCAGATTCCTTTCTTCTGGGCTCTTTTCCAGCCATTCCTCTACCAATTTATACTTTTGCCCTGCATTATTGCATCCTGGATGCAGAATCTGGCATTTCAACTTGTTTAGTTTTATGCTATTAACCATATCCCAATGCTGCAATCTAGCCAGATCACTCTGCAAGGCCTCCTGTGCCTCAAGAGAGTCAACAGTACCTTCTTTGGTATCATCAGCAAACTGAGTAATCCTGCATTCAGCTCCTGCATCCAGGATTAAAATATTGACCACCACTGTGCCTGGGATTGAAGCCCTGAGGAATTCTGTTGGTGACCTGTTGCTAGCCATATGTAGCCCCACTCAATAGAACCTTTTGAGCTCTACCATTCAGCCAGTTCTTCACCCAGCACACCGTGAACACCTTCATTGCACAGATGTACAATGTGTCCAGAATGATGCTGTGAAGGACAGTATCAAAAGTCTGAATCCAGAAAAACTATACCCACCCACTGCACAGTTGAGAATGTCCTGGAAGGATGTCAAACAGTACTTTCCTTTTGTGAATCCATGGACTGTGCCTACTGATTGCATTGTTATTTACATGTTTTTAAAGCACCTAGTATTATCTTTTCTGTAATTTGTCTATGTACTGAGGTTAGACTCATGGGTCTGTAGGTTCATGGATCTTCCTTCACGCCCTTCTTGTAAACTGGAGTAACACTGGCTTGGCTTCTGGTCAGCGGGGACCTCCCCAAACTTCCAAGACCTTTGGTAGAAGACCAAGTGCAGTCCTGATATAACACCCACTAGCTCCTTCAATTCTCTGTGATGAAACCCATCAGGCCCCATGGCTGATAGAGCTGGTCCCTTACAATTTAAGTACAATTCAATGTTCACAAATTGAAAGTTGCTGTTCCTGCATTTGTGGTCCTCTGACTCAGAGGACTGGGCAGCTCAAAGTCTATCAGAATTATTAAAGTCTGAGGCAGGAAAAGCACTGAATACTGAAATGCACCTCTACTTTTCTTCATTCCTATCAGTCAAGTGACCATCTTCAACAAGTATCACTCCAATATTTTCTTTAGACCTCCTCTTGCTATACTTGAAGCGGGTGCCAGGCTGCAATTTTGGGCTCCAGCTGGAGCTGCACTTCTGATGCCCATTATCCCCCCGCCCCAAGACCCCTTTGTGTTCCAGTGCATGACTGGCTGTGACTTGTATCCAAACGGCTCCTACACTAAATTCTATCATCCTGCCTACAATGCCCACAACTTCCTCAGCTTTGACGTGGACAACAGTGTCTGGGAGAGGCAGCAGGAAAGTAACCTGGCTGTACACATTGAGAGGCTATTCAACAACTTCACTGGTTCCTCCTTGACCCTGCAGCACCTTCTCAGTGTCACCTGTGTTGATCACATGAAGAGATTCATTGAGCATGGAAGAGCAACTCTGAAAAGACAAGGTGAGGTCACCCTGACCTTGGACACCCCAAAGACCTACACTCTGGGGTCAAATGGTGCTCCCCTTATCCCCTTGCTTTCACCCCCCAGAACTGCCTGTTGCCACTGTCTACTCCCGCACGCCCAACCCAGACAAGCTCCTGTTGGTTTGCCGCGTCACCGGCTTCTACCCACAGCCCAGCAGCGTGGCCTGGCTGCGGGATGGCCAGGAGGTGTCAGTGGGCCCGGCACTCAACACCAGCCCGGTGCTGCCCAATCATGATCTCACCTACCAGCTCCGCAGCACCCTGGCCGTTGTCCCTGGGGACGGGCACAGCTACGCCTGCCGCGTGCGCCACCGCAGCCTGGGCACCCGCAGCCTCTTCGTCCCCTGGGGTAGGTGCCATGCATAGGGTTGGGATGGCACTGGCCCCCTGCAGATGCCTGGAGGAGGGCTGGTCAGGCTCTGATGGCAGCTCTGGCCCTGGCCTCCTGTGCAGCTGCAACCCCTCTCTCTCCTCACTTCCTCCAGGCATCTCCAAGGTAGCTCTCAATGTCAGCATCACCATAGTAGTGTTGCTCACTATGGCTGCAGCTGCTGCTGGAGCCATATGGTGCTACAGGCAAAGGTGAGGTCTCCTCCTTGCCCAGCTGCACTAGCCCCATTGGGTCCAAGCCATGGCAGGTTGGAGCTGCCTGTCCAGTGCTGCCTGCCCTTATCCAGCCCTATTCATCTTCTCTCCCACAGGAGCTGAGAGCACAGGACACACCACATGAGGCATGCCCCAGGACCACACCAACCCTCCATATCTCCATGATAATAAACTGCTGACAATAAACACCCCTATGCATGTGGGAACTCCTGGTGTGCCATGCCCAGCATCTACAAGCACATGCTATCACATCTCATGCCCACCGCAGAACAGATGGGAAGAGCCCCAGTGCAGTGCAGGGGCATGCCCACACTCCTCATCCCAGGGTGAAACATCAGGACCATCAGGGCAGGCCCCAACACCAAAACAGTATGCCCCTCGTCATTGGGGGCACCATGTTCCCCATGAAACAGCAGGATTCATCTACTGCCAATGCAAGCTGGGTCAGTGATGCAGCAGGGCAAAGGAGGACAATCTTCCTCCTGCTTACACTTCTAGGGGCCCATCAGCACATCTAAGACCAGGGGGATGGTGACAAACAGACCCAGGGGCAGCACACAGCTTGGGAGTATGGTGAGCCCAGGCACTCAGACAGTTTTGGGAACATGGTTCACCTCCTCCAATGGAAATTCATCCAGACTGGGGCAAACTTGGATGGTTCAGTACTGGCTGCAGTACGGAGGGGACAGTGATGTCTGTGCCGGTCAGGACCAGACAGTCTGGGCAGAAGGGACAGCAAAGGACATTCCTGACAGGGACAGTACACATTGTATAGCCAGACAGTACACATGGGGCCTAGAAAGGAGAGATTCGGTCACTCTGACCTCCAGAGGTATCAGGGTGTTGCTGTGGCCATGGGGGATCCAACCTGCAGCCTTGGGGTGGTCTTGCTCCCACCCAAATTCCTCCAGCACTTGTGGCCACAGGCCAGGATACCCTAGCCCAGCCTTCCTGCCCTCTTATGTGACCCCAATGGGCAAGGGTCTGCCCCTTATCTGCCCACTCAGGCAGATAAACATGAGTTTATCAGACCCTTACACCCCTCCTCATCCCTGTTCTCACTGTGTCCCTACCCTGTCCCTGTCTCCTTTCTCACCCACAATGTCCATCCTTCTTCCCACACATCCCCAGCCTTAGTGCCGGCCTCCTCTGTCATCCCAAACTGCCCTTTCCTCCTTCTCCTTCTCTAGCCCTTCCTGTCCCTTCTTTCGTCCCAAGGATTCCTTTCTTCCCACAAGTCCCTGTACTCCTATGCCTTGGTGCAAGGATGAGATTGTGTCCTGGGGACCACACTCGTGGCTCAATGCCCAGTCCAGGACCCCTAGGAGTAGCCCAAGGTCCTGCCCTGGCCTCACTGAGCCTGAGCACCCTGCAATTGGTGACTCGTTACTGCACCTGGCATCATGCAATCGTGGAATGCTTTGAGTTGGAAGGGACCTCCAAAGGTGATCTAGTCCAACCCCCTGCAGTTAGCAGGGACATCCCCAACTAGAGCAGGTTGCTCAGATACCCATCAAGCCTGACACTGAATGTCTCCAGGGATGGGGCCCCCACCTCTGAGCAGCCTGGTCCAGTGTTTCACTACCCTCATAGTAAAGAACTTCCTCCTAATGCCTAATCTACCTCTCCCCTACACTAGTTCAAAACCATTGCCTCTCATCCTGTCACTACATACCCCTGTAAACAGTCCTTCCCCAGCTTTCCTGTAGGTCCATTCAGACACTGGAAGGCTACCATAATGTCTCCCCTGGTCATCAAGCACCAGACAGATCCTTGGCCCTGGCCCTGCCCAGTGTCAGGCACAGCAGCCCAGTTGACCCACTTGGGCCAGACGGCTTTCTGCCCTTGCTTCTGCCCTGCCCATGGTGCCATTGTCCGTGTCATGGCTTATATGCCAGTGGTGATCCATACGGCTTCTAGTGCCACCAGGTACTGGGCAGATGTGGGGTGAGCATGGCTTGGGATGGCAGGACAGTTGCTTCACACCAGCTGTGGCCTGCATGGACACCCCCTAGTCCTGCCCCAGGCCCCTCCTGGGTCCCTCCCAGCAGCCCCCAGCCCCATCTAAACCTTTACCCCCTTTATGCCAAGCACCTCCCAGGGCTTCCCTCTGTCCCCCAAAGCCCCTAATCCCCTAGATCCAGCCCTCAGCCACAAAATATGTACAATTGCAGACACAATAAAAGACAAAGAAGCATTTAAACATACTTTTATAAATACAAGTACAGTCACAAAAGCCATCACCTGTACAGTTCCAGATACAATTACAGATACAAATATAATCACACAACACAGATGTAAGCACATATATCCCAGATACAGATATCATTCCATATACCACAGCACATTCCAATATTGCAGACCCCTTCTGTGGCAGTTCAGCCCCAGGCAGGAGCCAAGCACCACATGGCCACACCCCCAAACCCCCGCACGGGAGGGAGAAAAGGAAGATACAAAACCCGTGGGCTGAGATAAGGAGAATTTACTACAAGAATGCGGAAGGAACAGCAAACAACATATGGGTATAACAACATATAATACATTGTAAAGGAGACAGATCACCACATAGGCTCTGGACAGCACAAACCGCGGCTGCACCTCCCAGACCATGAAACCCCCTGGAGTCGGAAACCATCCCTGTCCCCGGCCTGCCCAGCCCCGCTGCTGCAGGCACGGAGTCAGCATGGCAGCAAACAGCCCCTGGCTGGTCCGGCTGTCTGCCTGGCTGGAGCTTCTGCCTGACTACAGGTTGACAAACCAACCCTATCCTAGCTGAACCAGGACACCTTAATTCTTTCAAACTTTCAGTCTTCTTTTCCTCCCTCCTGCCCTCTCTCCCTCCTTCCTTCCTAACTTCTTTCCTTTCTCCTTATCTCTCTTCTCACTTTTCCTTGTCTCACCTTCTTTTGTCTTGCCTTGCCTTTTCCTCACCTTTGCCTTGCTTTCCTCTTTCTCCTTTCCCCTTTCACTCTTCCCTTTCCCTCTCCCTTTCCCTTTCCTCCCTGAGGAACAGCAATAGGGAGTTAGTAACAACAGACAAGAAGGCGGCCAAGGTCCTGAACAACTTTTTTGTCTCAGTCTTCAATGGCAAATTCTCTCCTCACAGCTTTCAAGTGGATGGCCTGTGAGACAGGAAGTCCCTCACACAGGCAGTGAGGACAAGGTTCATGAGTACCTGAGGAACCTTAACATACACAAGTCCATGGGACACGATGAGATGCATCCCAGAGTACTGAAGGACTTGGCCGATGCAGTCACCAAGCCATAATATTTGATAAGTCCTGGCAGTCAGGGGAGGTCCCTAGTAACTGGAAGAAAGGAAACATCACCCCTATTATTATAAAGGGTAGAAAGGAAGACCCTGGGAAATACCGACCTGTCAGCCTCACCTGTGTGCCTGGGAAGATCATGGAATACATCCTCCTAGAAGAAATGCTAAGGCACATGGAGTACAGGAAGGTGATTCAAGAGAGTCAGCAGGGCTTTACCAGAGGCAAGTCCTGCCTGACCAATCTGGCAGCTTTCTACAATGAAGCAACTGCACTGGTGGACAAGGGAAGAGCTGTGGACGTCATCTACCCTGACTACGCTAAGGCCTTTAACACCATCCCCCATAGCATCCTCATTTCTAAGCTAGAGAGATATGGGTTCAATTGGTGGAGTGTTCAGTGGATAAGAAACTGGCTGGACGGCCACACCCAGAGAGTAGTGGTCAATGGCTCGACGTCTAGCTGGGAAAAAGTGACAAGTGGTGTCCCTCAAGGGTCCATACTGGGACCAGTGTTGTTTAATATCTTCATCAGTGACACAGACAGTGGCATCGAGAGCACCCTCAGCAAGTTTGCTGATGATATTAAGCTGGGTGGTGCAGTTGACATGCGAGAGGGACAGGAGGCCATCCAGAGGGAATTGGACAGGCTGGAGAGGTGGGCTCAGGTGAACCTCATGAGGTTCAACAAGGCCAAGTGCAGGGTCCTGCACCTGGGCAGGGGCAACCAGCATTATCAATACAGGCTGGGAGAGGACATGCTGGTGACCAGTCCACTGGAAAAAGATTTGGGAGTACTAGTCAATGAGAAGCTGGACATAAGCCAACAGCACGCAGCAACAGCCCAGAAGGCCAATCAAATCCTGGGCTGCATCAAAAACAGAGTGGCCAGCAGATGGAGAGAGGTGATCCTGCCACTCTACTCTGCCCTGTTGAGACCTCGTCTGGAGTCCTGTGTCCAGCTCTGGGGCCCCCAGCACAAGAAGGATGTGGACCTGTTGGAGTGTGTCCAGAGGGGAGATGTAAAAATGATCAGAGGGCTGGAGCAGC